CTTCTTTATTAGGCTAGACATCAATTCACTTAGTTACTTCTATGACAATCCTCAAGTCTCCTAAAAAAATTAACTCATTAGGGGCGCCTGAATGGCTAAATCGGTCAAATGGCTGACTTTGGCTCAGGTCATGATCTCACAGTTTGTGAGATTGAGTCCCACATCAGGCCCTGTGCTGACAGCTTGGAGCCTGGAGCCTGCTTCAAATTCTGTCTCCCTCTCTCTCTGCCCCTCCCTGCTCGCATTCTGTCTCTCTGTCTCTCTCTCTTTCAAAAATAAATAAACATTAAAAAAAATTATTTCATTAAAAGTAAGAATTCTTGGGGGCGCCTGGGTGGCTCAGTCAGTTAAGTGGCCTCCTTTAGCTCAGGTCATGATTTTGCAGTTCGTGGGTTTGAGCCCCGCATCAGGATCTGTGCTGGCAGCTCAGAGCCTGAAGCCTGCTTCAGATTCTGTGTCTCCCTCTCTCTCTGTCCCTCCCCCGCTCACACTCTTGTCTCTCTCTCTCTCAAAAATAAATAAACATCAAAAAGTAAGAATTTTTGGTAGTTTTTGTGTGTGCGTGTTTTTTTTTTTTCATATTTGTGACTGGTTTAAGGTCTCACGCATAATAGATACTAACTTTTCCATAAGTGAATAGCTTACAGGACGTCAGTGGTTTTCCTAAATCTTTTTTTTCCAGCTTTATTGAGATATAATTGACACACAACATACAACATTGTATATGTTTGTGTACATACATGATATACATGCAATGATTTGATACTTGTGTATATTATAACAGGATTTCTGCAGTAAGGTTAGTGAACATATCCTTTGCCTTATGTAGTTGTGGTGAGAACATGTAGGATTCACTGTCTTAGCAACTTTGAGTATATAATATAATATTGTTGACTGTAATCACTAGGCTATACATTAGATGCCCAGAGCTTACTCATCTTATAACTGGAAGTTTGTATCCTTTAACTACCATCTTCCTATTTCTCCCATCCCAGCCTCTGCCAACCATCAATCTAACTCTGTTTCCATGAGTTCAGCTTTTTTTTTTTTTAATCTTTATTTATTTTTAAGAGAGAGAGAGAGGGAGAGAGACAGAGCATAAGCAGAGGAGGGGCAAAGACAGAGGGAGGCATAGAATCTGAAGCAAGCTCCAGACTCTGCACTGTCAGCCCAGAGCCCGACCTGGGGCTCAAACTCAAAAATGGGAAAATCATGACCTGAGCCAAAATCTGACGCTCACCCCACCGAGCCACCCAGGCGCCCCATGAGTTCAGCTTTTTTAGATTCTACATTTAAGTAGTAGCATACAGTATTGGTCTCTCTCTGATTTATTTCACTTAGCATAATGAATGCTCTTAAGGTTCATTCATGTTCTTAAGGTTCATTCATGTTGTTGCAAATGGCAGGATTTCCTTCCTTTTGGTGGTTAAATAATGTTTCATTGTATGTATAATATATATCGAGAGAGAGAGAGAGAGAGAGAGAGAGAGAGAGAGAGAGAGAGATCTGTCTCACATTTTGGCTATTCATTTGTCAATGGACACTTAAGATGTTTTCTTATCTTGGCTATTGTGAATAATGCTGTAATGAACATCAAGAAGAGATCTCTCTTTGAGATAGTAATTTATGTTATTTCTTTTGGACTTATGCTCAGAGGTGGGATTGCTAGATCACATGGTGGTTTTTGAGGAACCTCCATTTCGTTTTCCATAGTGGCGGCACCATCCTTGTTTCCACGGATAGTGCACAAGGGTTCCCTTTGCTCTAACATCCTTAGTATTTACCATCTGTCTCTCTCTCTCTCTCTCTCTCAAAAATAACCATTCTTACAGAAGTGAACTGATATCTTATCGTGGCTTTGCTTTATATCTCTGTGATGATTAGTATTTCTTGCCCATCTGTGTATCTTATTTAGGGAAATGTCTGCAGCGACCCTCTGCCCTTTTAAAAATCAGATTATTTGTTTTTTGCCATTGAGTTTGTAGTTCCTTATATTTTGGGTATTAACTCCTTAGTCAGATGTATGGTTTGCAAATTTTTTCTCCCAACCCATAGGTTGCCTTTTCCTTTTCTTGCTTGTTTCTTTTGCAGCACAGAAGCCTTTTCATTCAACGTAGTCCCACTTGTTGATTTTTGTTGCTTATGCTTTTGGTGTCGTATCCAAAAACTGATAGCTAATGTCAAGGAGCTTTTTCTCGACGTTTTCTTCTAGGAGTTTCATGGTTTCAGGTCTTACATTTAAGGCCTTAATTCATTTTGAGTTCATTTCTGTGAGTGGTAAGATAGAGGTCTAATATCCTTCTTCTGCATGTTGCTGTCCAGCTTTCCCAGCACCATTTAGTGAAGAGACTGTCCTTTTCCAATTGGGTATTCTTAACTCCCTCATCAAATATTAGTTGATTTATATAAGGGGGTTTATTTCTTGGCTCTCAGCTCTGTTCCTCAGGCCTGTGTATCTGTTTTAATGCCAGTACCATATTGTTTTGATTATTATAGCTTTGAAGTCAGGAAGTGTGATACCTCCAACCTTGTTCTTTCTCAAATTGCTTTATCTACTCTGGGTCTTTTGTGGCTCCATATGAGTTTTAGGATTATATTGTCATTGGAATTTGATAGATATTGTATTGAATCTATGAATGGCTTTGTGTAGTATAGATATTTTAACAATATTAACTCTTCCATTCCAAGAACACAGATATTTTTCATTTATTTGTCTTTTTCAACTTATTTCTTAAAAAGTTTTTTTTAATGTTTATTTATTTTTGAGAGAGAGAGAGCACAGCAGGAGGGGGCAGAGAGTGGGGGGACAGAGGATCCAAAACAGGCTCCACGCTGAGAGCAGAGAGCCCGATGCAGGGCTCAAACTCACGAACTGCGAGATCATGACTAAGCTGAAGTCTGTCTGCTCAACTGACTGAGCCACCATCCACTTATTTCATCAATGTCTTAGAGTTTTCATTGTATCTCCTTGGTTATATATATTCCTAAGTATTTTGTTGCTTTTGATGCTATTGTAAATGGGATTGTTTTCTTTATTTCTTTATGATATAGCTCATTGTTAGTGTATAGCAATGCATAGAATTATTTTTCTATGTTGATTTTGTATCCTAAAACTTGGCTGAATTTGTTTATTGGTTCTAAGAGGCTGTGTTTGTTTTTGTTAACATTTCAAGTAGAAAATAACAATAAAATGACTCTAATACTCTGGTTTCTCTTCAGATCGAATAAATCTTTCGCCTTTTACTAAAATGACTCTATGTGATGGATTTATTGGGTTTGTATCTTAACAATAAGAGGGGATAGACAGCTTAGCTTATATCTGTTCTGTCGCTTCTTCTCGCGGTCCAACCGACCCATGGGGCAGTCACAGTGACGTACCTGGATGTGTGCATGTTGTGTGCGGCACAGAGCCAGAAAATATTGGAGCCAGCTGCATTTAATATTTCTTCTGAGAGAATGGGAATATCTTCTGAAAAAAGTACTACTTTTGTTTCACTTTTGTGAACTTAGGAGAGAATGACAGTGATTACTTCAAGCAGATCTTTAAATACTGCTGTCATATATGAGTAAAATCACTTCACAATTGAGCCATTCTCTGTGTAAATATATGCTGGGAAGGCAATTGGAAGTAGTAAGTGGATGGCCATATGTATAGAAGATGTCAAATTCATTCTCTTCTATATTCTTTGCAGTCCAGTTATATAAGAAGCTCTTTAAGAACCATCGAAGTTGATCTGGATAGTTAGGGATTTTTCCCCCCAAAGACAAAGATGCTATTGCTACTTCTCTTTTCCATAGACCATTCTAAATACCAAGTGTCTTTTGAAGAGGGAATTTTCTAGTTGCTTTAATTGGAATTAAAGACGATCTGCATAATCTAGCTGATATAGTCATACATTTCTCTAATATAAAGTATCACTATCCTTAATCACATTAATTTTTATAATTTTTTGTTATTGACTGTTTATACAACATATTCATAGAAAAGTATAAAAGAAACTCAACATAAATGCTGATATGCAATTTTTATAACTTTTTCTAAGCTTTTCTCTTTTGGAAACATTTTTCATTTCTATTTTAGAAAAAGTAAAAAGAATACTTTCAAACACTAACGGTTTGTTAAAAGTTATCTCCAAATATTGTGTATACATTTTAAGACTCTACCTTTTTCAATCACCACTATATAGTCTGTGAATTTCTATTTGAAATGTTTAGCCAGTTTGATGTGTGCATTGGGAATCTCTGAGTCTTCAAAAGAGGGTCCTTAAAATCTCATTGGTGCCACGGTTTAGAACAGTGATTCTCAAAGTATGGTCTGGGGACCCCTAAAGCTCTTTGAGACTCGGAGGAGGTCCCTGAGATGAAAATTACTGCCATAATAATTGTAAGATGTTTTCTTCCTTTTTTATTCTTATTCTCTTTTTACCATACAGTGGAATTTCCCAGAGGCCTCAAGGCTTCATGATGTGTAATATTGCAACAGCCTGCAATGCTGAACAGCTGTGAGAATCTAGTCTATTAGACAAAACATTAAAGATATTTGCCCAAAGGAAACAAAAAAGAGCCTTTCTTCTCACTAAATTCTTTTTTGTTTTGAAAAAGATATGTTTCATAAAAACTGTGTTAACATAATGAATTTAACTCTACCTTTTACATGATTTCATAAACATTTTTTAACATTTCTCAGTTTTAATTTATAAAGCAGTAAATATTGATAGATCTAACCTTTCAACCATGTAAGGTTCTGAATAATTTTTCAGAAGGTTGAAGGGGTCTGATACTGAAAAAATGAAGAATCATTAGTTTAGAAAAAGATTGATGGAGAAGAAAATCTGGGTCTTTCCTTACATCCTTGTTCATTATGTCGCTTTTGAGAATTTCACTTTGTTTTTTTAGAGATCAAGGAACTTGGAGTTCTATTTCTGTTTTGTATTCTTCTCTGGAACTAAGAAGCCTGTCAGTCTTCCAAAAATAACAATTCCTTGTTTTTTCCTTTCTAGATTTGATGGTAGAGTTGTGGCAAAGCTCCCTTTCACCCCCCTTTCCTACATCCAAGGACTGTCCCATCGAAACTTGCTGGGGGATGATACCACGGACTGTTCCTTCATCTTCCTGTATATTCTCTGTACCATGTCGATTCGACAGGTGAGCGACCATATCCACCATTAAATATATACATCCTTCCTTGCTCTCACACCCTAAGTTAGCTTTTGCTGCTTTATGCCAGCAATGTTTTTCAATTCCAGTGGATCCTTAAATGTGTGTCTCATTACTGATCTTTTGGGATGGGTGGTGGTGGCCATAAAATGAAACATGTTTCCATATCCCATTTTTAGAGCTCTGAGGTTCCTTTTTCATTCTAGTCATCTAAAGATGCAAAAATAAAGAGCGGGTTTGGTCTTCTCAGTATCAGTTCTTCCTTATTATATACCGGCGTCTTTTGGCTCTTCAGGGACACAAATAAACGTAGTAATTTGGTGATTTTTAGGTTATTCACAGTTGAGATACTCAAGTCTGTGTTAGAGAATTTACATTTGGCCACCATGATTATAAGACATTCACAGTGAGAAAGAGTGAGAGCCAAGAGAGAAGTATGGATGGTTGGGAACCCAGACAGAGACAGGACATTTGAATAATCGGGGAAGATCAGGCAGAGAGGTGTAGAGAATGAAGTGGCCTTTGCGATAAGACTTTAAATAGTGAGAAGAGGCATGATCTCTTGGTTCATGGGTTCGAGCCCTGCATCAGGCCCTGTGCTAACAGCACCCGGATTTCAGTGGGGAGATTGGCACATGAGAACTCTTCTTCTGAATACTGTCAGTGGCAGCAGACTTCCTGGTTGGCCTGGCATGTGAGAATAAGTAGGAAATGGAATTATGGTTTGAAGCCTCCAAAGGTCTGCATGATCTTACTACTTACTGCTTTCCCCGTCTCCTCTGCCATCCAACACGCCAGCCGCTCCGACTCGCCTGACAAGCCCCATGTCTCGCTCACCCACATTTGCTTTTTGTGAATGCTCTTCCCTCTCTCTGGCTGCCTCCCACCTCGTCCTTTTCAGATTAAATGCAACTAAGTCTCAAGGCTTCCTGGCCTCCCTTCTGACACTTAACTGCTTTCTGAAGGATAGATGCGAGAGGGGCCTGATCAGGTGGAGAAAAGTCGGAAGCCTGTCTGAATTGTCCAGCAAAAAATCACTACATTCCGAACTATGACAGTGATGAGAGGGACGGAAGAGAGGGGCAGGTTGAAACAGACATGGAGGTAAAGCAGCAGAATTGAGGGAGAGAGAAGGGAGCACCTCACGTGAGCCCCAGGTATGGCTTTGGTGGCCAGACGCAGACTGGTCTCACGAAGAGGGTGGGAAGAGGGGAAGGTGAGCAGGCTGGTCAGGAGACTATCGGTTTGAGAGTTTTTAGGGCAGCTAAGTGGGCATGCCCAACGAACATCGCACTACCTGGGACGTGTGCTACAGGTCTTGAAAATGTCTCTGCAGTGAAACATTTTGTTTGGCTTTTTCCAAAGGTGAAAGCCAAGACCCTGACAACGCAGGTCTCTTGTGTTGGTTCAGCAGATGTCCATCACTTTCCAGAATATTGCTCTTAACTTTGATCATTTAAATCTGAAAGTTTTAAATTGCAGCTCACGTGCAAATATTAATAAAACACAACGATGTGTACATTCTACTTTTAGCCGCAAAGAGCAATTCTACTTTAATTACGTTCAGATTCAGATATTAGTGCTTTATGTGTGACAGCTCAAAATGGGCACTTTAAAAATTTTTTTTTAAATGTTTATTTTTGAGAGAGAGAGACAGAGAGTGAGCAGGGGAGGGGCAAGGAGTGGAGGGGTGAGGGGATACAGAATCCAAAGTGGGTTCCAGGCTCTGGGCTGTCAGTGCAGAGCCTGACACAGGGCTCGAACTCACCAACTGTGAGATCATGACCTGAGCTGAAGTGGGATACTTAACATACTGAGCCACCCAGGCACCCCGACATTAGTCATTTTAGATGCAACATTTTCACTACTACCGGGCCACTGCTCCCTAGAAATCACCGTCTGAAACTGTAGAGTTTTAAAACTGAAATAAATGTTAATAATGATGGGGGACCTGGGTGGCAGTCAGTTGAGCATCTGACTGCAGCTTATGTCGTGATCTTACAATTCGTGAGTTCGAGCCCCGTGTCAGATTCTGTGCTGACAGCTCGCAGTCTGGAGCCTGCTTCAGATTCTGGGTCTCCCTCTCTCTCTGCGCCTCCGCCACTCACGCTCTCTGTCTCTCAAAAATAAATAAAAGATTAAAAAAAATGATAGTTGAGGATGTTCACCTCAAGCTGGTCTTTAAATTCCTTTCAGATATTTCTGAAAGTCCAATGAGGTGTTTATTTAGCAGTTAATTTTATCAGGAATGCAGTGCTCATTTATCATGGTGGTCAGCAGAGTTTTTCTGTTAAGGTCTGGATAGTAAATATTTTTGTACTTTCCAGACCATATACTTTATTGTAACTACTTAGCTCTGCGTTATAGTAGGAAAACAGTCACAGACAGTATGTAAATGAATGAGGGTGGCTGTGTTCCAACAAAACTTTGTTTATGAAAACAGGCAAGGGGCCAGTGTCAGTCTGCTAATCCCTGAAGGTTCAGGCAGAGACTGTTGTGGCTGCTCAGCTCTGCCATTAGAGTATGAAAGCAGCTAGAGACGATGTGTAAATGAGTATGACTGCGTTCCAATAAACCTTTATTTATAAAAACAGGCAGCGGACCAGCATGATACGTTAACCCCTGAGGACCAAGCACACAATATGTGCTATAAAGTTAAAATACAATAGTAGATCCTAGACTGTACAGCTTAATAAAATCATTGCTTATTAAGTACAGAGAAATGGAGGAAATGAGGCAGCAAAACACGCACGCGCACACATGCACACAAATATTTAATGTGTTTTGAGCCAAGGAGGATACATACTCATATTTTTTATTTCTACTTGTCCAGATCTACGCACTGAGGCTGATAAAAATATGTAAGAGCGATAGTATTGGCATAGCTCATATAACAGTGTTGTATTTGGAAGATTTATTTCTTTTGGCGTCCGGTTATCTTCCCCAAGATCCGTGGTGAGTTTTGACCTGTTGGGATGTCCTGACTGCTGGTCGTCATCTTGGGCAAATCATTTTATTACCCAGTTTTATACAAGGTATTCTAATATATGGAAAATCTTAGACAAATCACCAAAATGATCTGCTTTTATAATTTTTATTTCACTAGCTGCAAATGGTTTTTGTACATGTTCCTTGCTGATCATCAGCATTCATACTGGAGGATTATGCACTTAAGTCAGGTCTAACATAACTTTAGCATTGGAAGTGTTATTATGGAATATAGGCTTCTCTTGTTTTGATTAAAATGTTTGTTAGCTTGCTATTTCTGTGTTTTGTTTTATTTACTTTATAGGATCTTAGGTTGCATAATAATAGACCATGTAGATGCCTGTGAAATGAGCAGCCATAAAATACGACGCTTTCAGAAATTCAAATTATAGATGTCTGTGATTTCCCCAGCGAGGTCATTCTTAGGCAAGGAAGTAGGCCACTTGGTTTCAGATATACCCACGGCATAAAGTAGTTTTAAGAGAACATAATGAATTGGGGGGTTTTTGTCTGCTTGTTTTGGGATGTAAAGTGGAGTGTGTGATGGGGAAACTAAAATAGAATAATTCAAGTTTCGATAATGATTGCTCATATTCTGTGTTATAGGAGTTTTTGTTTATTATTTTTGTCTATATGTTATTTTTTTCTGTATATTTTCTTCTTTCCAACTCCTTCAAGATAGTAAGTTCTTAACTATCTATATGTGTCTTACAGTACCTATATATAGTACATAGTACGCAGCTGGAAAGTATATGTTAAACAAATAGGTGCTACACTGAAATATAAACTTATACATTTGGCAGATTGGGGTTACACTATTTTTTATTCCCAAGAGCAAGGTAGGAAAATGCATGTTTCTGCCAGCCTCACCAGCAGAAGTTGCTTTTGAGTTTTTACCAATCCGGTGGATAAGAATCACTTCCTCGTTGCAGTTTTAATTTGCTTTTTGGGTTGAGCATCTCTGTTTGTCTAAGAGCTGTTCATATATTCTTTTCTTTCCTTGGTGGCAGGAGACTGTGTGTGCTTTTGCCTGTTTCTCTGATGGGTTGGTGGTCTTTGAATGTTAGCTCTTACTTTGGGACATTCGCCCTCTCCCTGTGCTCCAAGCTGCACCTAACTTTTCCAACTTGTCGTTTCTGTTTCAGTTTTACTTTACAGTGGTTTTCACCACACAAAATTTTATTTGCTTGCTGATTTTAGTTTTTCTTTTTAGGTCAGATTTGTCTGTCTTTTATGGCTTTTGGATTTTGAGCTATGATTAGAAAGTTCGTCTCCACTCGGAAGTTACCAGGAAATTCACCCTCCTTTTCTGTTGGTACTTTTTTGGTTTCATTCTTTGCATTTCAGTGATGCGCCAGTCCATCTGGAGTTCGTACTTCCCTTATTCTTTCTTCGTGCTCTTCTACTTGGCCAGCTATTGCGTGATTTTGAGAAAGGGGAACACAAAAACATCGATTCATATGAACTCACAGTTTGCCTACTTCTTTTTTTTTCCAAAGACGAAGAAGCCAGAGGGCTAAAAGAATGCAGTCAGGTGAATGGTTGGACTTAAATACAAGTCCCGATCATAGCCTAGCGGTGTTTTCTCTGGAGCACCTCTCAAAACTTGTCTTTGAGGGGCACCTGGGTGGCTCAGTCGGTTAAGTGTC